ACAAAGAAAAGGAGGAAGGTGACCCTAGTCTCTCAGGAGCCTCCTCCTCCTTCCTTAGAGACTCCATGTGCCAAATAGCACAAAGTTAGGTGAGAGTTTATGTGAACATATCACTGATTATCTCTTCTAGGTGTTCAATATCTAGCACAATGGCTGTTTTCTTCCATTCCTTCCAACTCCTTCCACTGTTCACTCAGAAATTCATTTAGCAAGCATTTATTGAAGACCTGCTCTGATGTACTGTGCTAGATGCTAGGGATTCCAAGGAAAATATGACACCTTGTCCTTGAGAAGATTGCAGATGTGTAAAGATATAGTTTGAAGTAGACACATTAAAAAATGCAGTTACACCACACACTTTCACAAATGCACACAGACACATGCAAGCACTCATGCACACATACAAAAACTCATTAACTCACATCAACATACAAAACCCCTCTGCCCCATGAATCTGAACTTCCAAAAATTCTAGTCTTTTAAAAAGTTTTGAACTCAGCAAAGATACATCGCTAAATCCCTCTAATTTCAAAATTTCAGTAGAGTCAGTTGCTGTGTGTGTGTGTGTGTGTGTGTGTGTGTGTGTCTGTGTGTGTGTGTGTGTGTAAGTAACTGTGCATTTTTACATGAAACCAATTTTATATAAAGTTTTACGTAAGGATAGAATATTTTGAACAATTTATTCTTTTAGATTAATTGAATACAAATAAGATTAGTTAATCTAACACCAAATATTAGTTCAGAATGTCTTAAAACCAATATTCACTGACACATCCCAAGAATACTAAAAAGCCTGGATCATTTGTTTGGAAAGACAGAGACTAAGATTCAATGTGATTTAAATTCATAAAATCATGATAAATATTCTAATGGTAGACATAGCCTTGTTTTTCAAATTTTGTTCATCCAAAGTATTCCTTTAATTAGTTAATAGTAGGAATATGGGTCTGTCTTGTGTATCAGTGTACTTTCAGCATGTAGAGCAGTGCAGACTCTGGCGTCAGACTGCCTAGATTTGAAATTAGGCTCTTCCTTTTACAGGCCGTGTGACTTCTCCAAGCCTCAATTTTCTTATCTATAACATGGAGATAGTAATAGTAGCTACCTCACAGAGATATCACAAGGATAAAAGGAATAATCGCACATGAAGCATATAGCACTGTGACAGGCACTGTCATTAAGTAAGCTATTATTATTATTATCATTACCCTCAAATTCAGTTGAATATTTGAGCTCAGTGAGGATGTTTAATATTTGCCAAGAAAATTAACTACCCTACGTAGCTACCATATGTCTGTTTTTATAGTAATATAGTAAGGACAATTTAGTCTTTATTTAAGAATGTAAAATCACGGCTACTATATTGATTTAATTTATTCATCTATTCAAATGTAATTATTAAAAGTTTAGTGCATGCAAAGTATTGGGTTGGGTAGGAAATTGCAAAGATGATTCTGCCACTAGCAATAGCGGTCATTCCATGGTCCTGGAATCCTGCATGTTTTTCTAATTAATTAAGCCTAAAAGACTTAGATGCACAAAATAGAGTTTTATTTTTTTTAATTTACTCATGCACTGATTTAATATATGCAAGGCCATAGAAGAGGAAGAGGAAGGGGAGGTAGTGAAGAGCTATAAGGGAGCAAAAAGTTAACTATAACCCGTGCTTTCATAAAGCTTAAATCCTAGCAAATCTATGCTACACTTCCAATTTGAGGAATCCATGTCGTCCTTTTGAGATGAGAATAAAAATGTCAGATGTCCCTACTTTTGACTTAGCTTTTCCCTGAGAGGTTTTAGTTCAGGAAGTAAGAATCAGGAATTGCCAAAAGGAAAGCAAACCTTGAGAGGGGCCCTGAACACACTGTGCTAGGAAAGGAAAGTGAAGATGTTGGCAGCAGTAAAACTCAGGGACTGGGATCATATCAGTCAAACTGGAAAAAAAAAAAAAAAAAACAGGCAACTGGAAAAGGCTGACCTTGTAAGATAATTCTGAACAAGTGTTTAATTTGGTGCTTTGGCTTAATTGGGGGCAGTGGCTGTTCATTAATAGAATTCTTACCTTCCATATGGAAGATCTGGGTTCAGTTCCGGGCCAATGCACCTGAAGCACAACCATTACCTGTCTGTTA